TAGTCGTCTTCGTAGCATCAGTAGCAGCAGGTGAAGGACCTCTGCAGCAGCAGCAGTAGCAGCAGTAGGGTTTAGGGTTTAGTGATTATAATTATAGTAGAATCCCCTCAAGGCAAATCCGCCAACACCCTAAGCTGCAATCCTCAAGTGTGTGGGTCATAGTGAGCAACCCAAGCGATATCATATAAACCCTATAGGTGCTTTATGCGGGTCTGAAGCCTCAAGGGTTTCCAGCACCTAAGACCCCCAAAGGTCCATCTCAGATCCCAGCAGGAATGGACTGTAAATAGTCTTGGCATATAGTACAATTCCCATTGTATCGGTTGCTTTATGGGTCCCCAACTGTCCAACTGTGCAGGAGGCAACACTTGGAGCAGGCTAAAAATTGAAGCTACGCTAGATCTTACTAGTTTATTTTATTGACTTCCGGGCTAAAGGGTTGCTATCGGCTTTTTATATCATATGGGATCCTATTATTGTCCCCAACACGTGCTGTTGGCCAAGCCGGGAAGAGTGGCTAACCCAGACACCCTACAAGGAGTGATGAACCCTAAAAGGATCGGGGTGGGCTTAGGGTGGGGGGGGCCCAACACATCATGTCCACTGAGAGTGGCAAACTTGGGATCTCGGTTGCCCTTGGATCCTTGGCTTCTCTTGGATCTTGGCCGTGGATAGTGCTCGGCAAGTCATCCTCACCCTTCTCAGTCGACTCGGCAAAGGAGTACACGTGACTGCCAAACCGGTTGTGGCAGCGACTGTGAAAGCGACTGCGAAAGGTGTCGCGAAGCCGACAGGGTATTGACAGTGTCGACCCACAGTCTCTAGGGTCCCATCCACTCACCCCAGCCCTGGGTGGTGTTCGCAACTTTCCATGTTGCCAGAGCTACATCAGATTATACTATAGATCGTTCTTTATACTAGCCCCGAACAACCTCAAAAAAAAAACACTTACCCCAAACTTGCCTATCCTCGCGCAGGCAAACCCGACGACCCCAAAGATTGAACCGCATCTCCAAATCTCGGCCTTATTCTAGGTGAGCAATTCAATATATTACAAGAAGTTGTAAGTGTATGGATCGACTATCATGAATCAGCCTCTTTTCGGACTTGGCTACAGCTCCTGCTGCTGCTCCTGCTGTGCCAACTGCTGCTGCTGCTGCTACTACCATGTACTACTATGAATAATACTAAATAACTACTCTATATATATATATATATAGATACTATATAACGACAACACGTGGGATTGTTGGGCCTGTGTCTGCACTTGCAAGTGTAAATTAATTTGGGAGTCCAGGCTAGGGTAAATAAAAACCGCTAAATTGTACAATGTCGAAACACCCAAACCATCGACCCCTAAACCCTTGAAGCCTAAACTCCCTAAACCCCTAAACCCTTGACCCATGTAGACCCTAAACCCAGAAGATCGGATTAAGGTTCGCATTGCCCTGATGGTCCCGGACCCATATTCCAACTCACCGGAAGTCCTGGTATTTATCCTGTGAATTCAACCAACTACCCCTACACTATAAAAACCGCCAAAGCCTACGACCCCAAAGCCCTAACCTCACCCTACCTTTTACATGTGCAGAAAAACCTCAAGACCCCAACGACTTGAACCGAAGTGCTAGTTGTAGGACAAGCCGTCGCTACCAAACATCAAACCCATCAACTGTAGAGGCCTTGGTAAGAAACTTTGGGGTGACTGAGGTTTATCATAGCTCATAGATGTAGGAGTCCTTTCGGTAAGGCTTTATAGTCCTCGTGATATAACACGCCAACCCTCAACCCTAAACCTGTGGGGTTAACAAAATTGATCTATATGTAGATTCTGACCACACACATAACCCTCCTGTCCAGCCTCTTCTGTAAGTCCACCATCCTGTGGGCCAGGGGGTATAGTCATTGCTTATAAATTAGTCAGAGCAGACAAAAGCCCCCGCCTCAAACCTTTGACACCCCACAGTCTCTAGTCACTATGGATTGGGGCTCATTGAGGGCTTTAGAATAAGTCCCATCCAAGGTATTTCGAAGCACATTCTACATGATGCACTATGGCTCTGCAAGCCCCAAGCCGACGATCATTTGGACAAATGCAAGAGCCTTTGCTGTTGGCTTTGTCTGAAGCTGAGTCGCTGATCATTTACATAGGCACAATCGACAATGCTGCCACAATTTCCCTTTCATTGCCTCGAGGATTCAGGGCCCCTCAGCCGTGAGAAGAGAGAGCTGTCAACTTCTTTGAAGACAGCACGTTCGGTGCTTACAGGGGTTCTATGTTAAGCTGATTGTGGCTGCCACTGTGATATCGAGGTCATTATACTGACAAAAATGGTGTCAAGCGGTTTACAGGATACAAGAAAGATCTCAGAGACAGTGGGTGGGATTCTCAGTTTCGCACTGCAATCCGTTGTACTAGTAAACTCTACAGTATGAGCCCAAGTCTTTCAAGGTCCTATACCAGGGCCTTCGGCAAGCAGATCCTGCAGCTGTGGCTGGAGGAATGTGCCGCATCCGCCTCTGGCCAGCCTCGGCTCTGTCTGCGGCAGAAGATCCACATTAGTGCAGCTAAGACCGATAAAGACTTATTTGTGGCATTGCCAGTTGGAGACACGTGGGCTGATGCTGAGATGGTGGAAGTTTGGATGTATCTGTACCAGAACAAGAAATTAATTATCCCAGCTGGTTGGCAAAGTGCTATGCAAGACTTCAACAAGGAGTTGCAGGATTCGGCTCCTTGTTTCGGATATACAGTATGCATAGGTAATATGCATCTTCAGTACTGGAGCCCAGCCCCGGATCGGCCTCAGGTGCTGTATGGACACCGACTACGAGATGAGTTGCTGACTGCACGGGAAGAGAGTTGAGAAGTGATTTCAAGGGGGCCTGGATGTGCCTCTTCCAGCTAGCTTTCGCGGAGGTTTTGCGGGTTTTCATGCCGAAACCTACTTTTCTGTTCAAAGCAAAAAAAACGAGCAGTTTTACCCGCAGAACGGGCGCAAATTCGGCGCAAACGGGCGCAAACCGGCGCAAACGGGCGCAAACCCGGAAAAGTGTACAATTGCTCGTTTGCAATCTTACCAAATCACACATAATGCTCCTAGACTGCTTGCTTCATTGGATCTGCTGGTTCCTGGAACTCAAAAGCCTTGGCTGCTGGAGGATGACTGTAACTCGTACCGTGACTTGCCGATCCTTAGACCTGGGCCTTGCGATGATTGCCAGCCAGCACCAAACCCGAGCTGCTACCGACCTGGATGCCGAGATCTCTGATCCCTAGCTGCCAATCGATCATAGCAAACCCCAGCCTGTAAATGAATCACCTCGAAAATCCACCTGCATCTCAGGATGCCACGCGCCAGCTGATGGAGCTGCAAGCAGAGCTGGCCTCATTCGATGGCACGGCTCCGGATCTGAAAGGACTGCTGTGTGTTAGGTATAGTAATATAGTACACATGATATGTATATTTATATTATATATATTAAAGTTAAAATATACTATATTATATTATATCCTATTATAGTATATTATAGTATATTATATTAAATAATATATATATATACATATATATATACATAATATATATATATATATATACAAACATATTTTATATTATATATATGTATAATATAAATATAACATAATATATATATATATCTATATATTACATGCATGCTCTACAGCACATGCACATACTATGTGTGCATGTACTGTACATATTAACTTCACAGGGCCACTGCATGTCGGTATTATCATTAGGATGTGCCACTCTATGTGACAACATGAATCGTGTAATATATATATATGTGTATATTATTTGTTTACATATTATATATATATAATATAATGGTGATGTGTGTTTAGAATATATATATAATATATATACTGTATATACTATAGTATTACCACATATAAATTCGATCCCTTTCATGCTATATTATATATGTTAACGACACACGCATTCACATGTAATGTAAATTTATACATGCACATCATGGATTGCTCTATGTCTGGGTTGTGATGTGTACGCAAATTGTAACGACGCATCATGTGCATGATATGTTATTCATGCATATATATATATAGATCGCATATTGAATATATATATATAATATATTATACACACATGCTCTATATATATATATACATGTATATGTATATATATATATATTGCATCCATGTATGCACACTGTTGAGTGCACTTCTTCTTCTTTTCGTTTACACACGTGTGCATTTGTGTGCCACCAGCACATATTACATATGAGAGAGAGAGCTATACATGCAATGGGTATTGGCATGCAGTGCCATGATTGTGTGTCGATAGGTAAAATCTACACAAACTACAAGACTTACCGCATGAATAGTATGTGCATGCTTATTCATGATATGTATGCTGGCCTTTAACATTAGCATCAGTAGGGTTCGTGTCTATAAAATGCCCATGGCTATGTGTATATATACGACCATATACACGTGCATTGCTCAGGGTATGGTATATTATATATATATATATATATGCACATATATACACACTGCATGTGCTATACACCTAGCATGCAACACTACATGTAACTATGCTACCATGGAGGATACAAAACTGCTGCCAAGGCATTCGAATTTGGGCCCCATTATGGATCTGTCATGACCTGGGACACATCCACTTGCAGGACACACATGCATGCATATTTAACATATAATAACCACAGATCCAAAGTACATATAATATAACATAATAAATATATATATATATATATATAGTCAGTAGTTCTAGAGACATGTAGACCAGCCTGACTTTGGCTGCACATGTGCATGCATGCTATAGATCGATATAGTATACTATATCCATGCAATATAACTATAACACTATGAGAAACTATAGGTAATCATTTTACTATATATATAATAAATAATCTAATCTGTCAATATCTCCCTCCCTCTCTCTCCCTCACTCCACCCAGCCTACACTTCCACTTGCACAAGTTTCGACTGATCGATGTCCATGTGCTTTCTATGCATACCTGGACTTGTGGTGCTAGTGTACGTGGCAATTAATCGGTCTTGCTGTGGAGAGGACTGGTGGTACACTCGGAGGCTGCTGCAGGTTGCTTCCTACCGGGGATGCCGGGTCAAGGTGTTGCTGGGCCAGCAAAGGTGGATCCAATGCTTCGCAGTGGGACCCTGGAATCCTTGGGCACCACTGCTGTTATGTCGCCTGTTCATGGCAAAAATGCTGAAGCTCCGCCAGCCTCCCCGGCCCATAGCTCCAAATCTTCCGCCTCCGCGTATTCGGATGGTTCCTACTGGAAGTTCCCAGTCTGCATTCTATCTAGCTTGTCATCAGTTTATAATAGTCGCACACGCAAGCTTTCTAATGCTGCATCTTCTGGTGCATGTCGAGGCTGAAGCGCTACTTTACGCCGAACAAGAAGGGGCAATTGAAATGCTCGGAGGCGGCTATGGCAATGTTCAAGGATCCCCAGGGCCGAACCTTGTTTTACAATTAAGTGGATCTTGTAGTCATATGAGAACTTGAGCATGGTAGGGTCAATCGATCATCAGGTGAAAAGCTCCGGGACTTGCTGAAGCAACATGGTGACTTCCGTGCTGTAGAGGTGGAAGTGCAGAAGCTGTCGATCCAAACATCCAAGAATGGAGTGGAGGGCGGGTGGGAGAATGAGATCTCCCTCAGCCAAAAGGGCTGGACCGAGCAACATAACTGTACTTTGGAATTCCACACCATGTAGGATCGTGCTTGGCAGTTTCCTGTTAGCCTGCAATCTAACTGATAGTTGTCTAAGGGGGATGATTGCCAATGCTCGGAGATGGGCATTGGCCAAGGGACTCGTTCGAACGAACGATGTGCACGGCTTGGAGGAGTATAAGATCCCGACCTTTGAGGGATTCTCCTTCAGCAATGAAGCGTCGCAGCAGAGCAAGGTGAAGGGAACCTTCGAAGCAGAGGACACTCATACTGATCGAGGTTTGCAGGTTTGCTTAAGCTACAGTCTGTTCATGATGTTGAATTCGAGAAACCCTAGGTTGGATTTTAGCCTCTAACACTGTAACGTACAGATTAGCACAGGTGCTAGCTTATTTCAAACTGAGCAGTATCATTCGCTCACTGCAAGCTTATTGGGATCTGCTCCATGGGCTTCGGGCTTCGAGTTTAAGGGTTGGGTTTATGGTCCACGGCTCATTAGAGTCTTTGGTCGATACATTAGGATTTTCAAGGATTGGTGGAGTTGGGGATTCCATCGTGTCAACCCTCAGAACCCTAAAGCAATTAAGAATAGGCTTGTGGGTTATGCATGCTACACATGCGATTAATCCCAATCCAATATGTCGACTGTACTGGAAGTTGGGTGCCAGGGTTGGGCTTGCATGAAAATCCTGACCCAGCCTATCTGCTGACGATATGAACCCGATCGGAATAATACATTATTTAATTTAAATTATTATATTAATTGTTGGATTTCGGACTTAGTAAACATGACTCATTTTCAAAGTTATCTATGTGTAACAGAACAACCAGAAACTGCTCGAAATATTGAGGAAGTGTGTGTGTGTGTGTGTTTGTGTGCACATGTGTGAGTACAGCTATCCATAAGAAACCGGCTTGTGGTACTAGGATCTGAAAGGCCTTGATCTATTATTGCATTGGACGACCCACCCCAGCTAAACTCCAATATATGAATACCGGCCTATATATATTATATTACAGGCTCGAGAAGACTTGTGCACGCACATGTGCTCTAATAGCTACTGGTCTCCGAAACATGAACCACCACCAGTGGCTGCAGTCCGTGGTGGTGAGCGGCGGCGGCGGCGGTGGGGGTGGTGGTGGTGGTGGTGGTGGTGGGTGGTGGTGGGTGGTGGTAGTGTTGGTGGTGGTGGTGGTGGTGGTGGTGATGGTGGTGGTGGTGGTGGGGGTGGTGCTGGTGGCGCTGGTGGTGGTGGTGGTGCTGGTGCTGGGGCTGGTGGTGGTGGTGGTGGTGGTGGCGGTGGCGGTGGTGGTGGTGCTGATGTTGGTGCTTGTGCTGGTGCGAGTGCTATTGCTGGAGCTGGTAGTGGTGGTGGCGGTGGTGGTGGTGGTTGTGCTGCTGCTGCTGTTGCTATGTTTCGAATCTTAAGACAGCGCCGATCTCTGCCACAAGCATCCCGGTTGCCATATCATATTGCAGTGCAGGTGCCACACACAACCTATCGTTAACTCCTCTCCCCAAAATACACAGGTAGCCTCATAGGAACCGAAGTGGTACCTGACATAAATTGGAGAACACCCGTAAATAGTGCACAACAGATAACCCCAAGCCTTCTAAATACCCTATAACACCCTGGACTTTCCACACCCCACAGGATGCTGCTGGCTTCCTGCTGTCGGACACGGTGACCCAGAAGGAAGCCTTGGCGAGCCCAGACTGCAGTAGTTCCTTCTGTAGAGTCCATGGGGCTATGTGGTGATACGTGTCCATGCTAGATGCTTATAGCATGCAGTTCATTCTCAGGATGGGTGCCAGTGGACCGGCTGATGTGAACTTTGCGAGGGTGGCTGTGTCAAGCATGGCCAGCACTGCAAAGGAGAAGTGCCTACCGGTACTTCAGGCGAGCCAGGATGTTTTCAGCAACTGGCCTCAAACGATGTTTGCTAGACCTGCTGTCTGCTGCATAACCGATCTAGTTGTGAATGCCAGCTTTCGATCTGAGGTGTGCTGGCAGTGTACATCGATATGTGTGGCAAGAAGGTTGACCGTGCTACCGAGCTGCAGGTCGTGCCTAAAAATTTAACACACCCTACTTAGCATGAGGCTTCTAGGATTTTTGATGCTGATGGTAAGCCGGGTTTCTATAAGCAAGGTTAAGGGCAGGTATCGTGTGTGTTCAACTCAGGATCCCTGGGGTTAGTAGCATCAATTGTTGTAGATCGACACCGATGCCTCTGGGCAGGACAAGCTAAACTCTTCTGGGCAGAAGCGCGGCATCGAGCATCTTTACTTCATATGCATGCATAGAGTCATAGAGTCACTTGGCCAATCATGTTGAGACCCCAAGACTGTACTCTGCAAACCCAGTTTGGCTACGGAGATGAAGCCGAAGATTAATGAGCTGGAGACGAGCTACAAGCAGCTGCTACAGTTTCAGACCGATGCTGTCTTGGATGCCGGGACACCGCCCACCAGGATACTCTAACCCTAAACCCTAAACCGATTTTCCCCACCATGTTATCACGTACTACACAATGTTCCACAAGGAAGACCAAAGAAGACCTCCTGAAGTGCTATGCCACCTGCACACGCCTGGACCTTGCACTGAATGCCTTGATGATCCGTGGAAGGTACACCCTTGCAAGTTGTGTGCCTTTGTACTGCTGCTGCTGCTGCTGCTGCTTGATTCGTGCTTTCATCGATGACAGGACGATCAAAGTGCCCACAAAGGGCAAGTCAGCCCCGAAGAGCAAGACTCCAAAGGCCAAGGCCAAGCCGGCCAAGAGGCCGCACAGTGCTGGTGGATCTTCCGCAGGAGCCTCTAAAAAGAGGCGATCGTGAGCCGTGAGCTTTTTGGTGGGTCTAGGGCCTGTGGTGATGCACGTCAAAGGATCGGATATTCTTGATAGCATGCAGCTAGATGGTTCTTGCAAGTACTCGAAACAGTTGGCTCGTGCATCCTTGTGCTGTGCCATAGGTGCCTCCAATCACAGCGCATGCTAAGATGAGATGTCACATGCGTGATATATGCATGTGCTGATAATTCTCGAAAACCGAGCTCATGATGAACAGGACCTGGGGAGCATGAGAAAAAATAAGGCATTTGCTTTGCTAGTGCAGTGGGCGCTCTTACGTGTGGCATTCCACTTGATTGTTGATGTGGGTCGCCAGGTCTCTGTTCTGGTGACCACAACTTCTGCATTGCTCCTCGTTTGGCTACCGGTGGCTTGGATTTAAACTCATGAACCTGCCCATCCAAACCTGTAAAGTACACCCTTAGCCCTGGAGCCCTACATAGTCCCAGCCGAGATGCACCCCAAACCCTAAACCCTTCGTTCGAACCTTTTGCTCTGAACTTCCAAAAGTACAGAAGCTGTGAAAGTTGAGGCGCACAGCACCGAAAATCTTTCCAAGCTGATCGATCGCACAAACAATCTTAAACCCTAAGCCTAAACCCGAAGCCCTAAATTCCAATGCCTAAACCCGAGCCTAAACCCTATGAGCCCGAAGCCCTAACCGAGGCTATACAGCTAAAACACTAAGCCCTGAAGCTTTGGCTATAAATCCCTAACATTTTCGACTAAGGCTGCCGCACTCGTGAACAACAAGAGGATCACGACCTTGATGCAGAAGCAGGAGCTGAGATTCTTGGGAAATACTTCAATGGAGTGCCTCTGCTTAATGATCGAGTTAGGGTGTATGCAGATCATGCATGTGTACATGCCAAGGCAGAGTCTGCCAAGGGGGCGACACACATGGCTACCCTGGTGTGTAAGATCGGGAGCAACTCACGACTCCAAGCTACACAAATTTTATGTTTTGGTAGTGTATATGCATGCTGAATCTGCAGTATTACTTTAATTTTGTACTTCAGGAGAGCTGGACCTACTCTACAAGTTGTCAGCTGCTGGTCGGAGCAGCTCTAACACGTGTCGTAATCTTCATCGACTCATACATCGAGAGGGTCTCACCCTGCCAGTCGAGATCAGCTTTGTGGACACGCTTGTTTGCAAGAGACGGCCTTTCGTGTCAAAACAAATGGTGCACTACCCTGTAATCTTTCCAAGCACGTGGATCAAGTTCCTCCTGAAGACTCAGAGCTACCTCCTCCTAGGTGGCCACAACCTCGAGGATGAAAGGCCATGGCAAGACATGCTTTCTCAGTTTTGGGGTTTGTATATGGAGTCCCAGCCTACACATGTGATGAGTGGGCCCGACGCGCCGCCAGCCAATCGAACAGTTCCTCTGTATATCCACGGAGATGAAGGTCGTGGGAAGTACAAACTTCCCATAATGGTGGAAAGTATACAACCCTGCATATCTTTCAAGGGTCAGGACTACAAGAACTCCAGTGGGTCTTTCGATCATGTACTGAGGATCATGATTTCTTAGAGGTGCTACTCCGATAGGTGTAGTACTACATGCTTGATCTTCATAGCCTACAAAACTCAGGCACACTTTCTGTACACGATTCCTCTACACTGTTGTGCCGGCCGAACTGTACTGGCACGATGTCACGTTGACCAAGCTGAATGAAGATTTCGCTGCAGACCTATGCCGTCTGTTCACAGAAGGGGTTCAGGCTGCTAGCTGCAATATAGTGCAAACCAAGTGCTGTGCAAATCATCATGCTGTGTCTGGGATAAACTGATCGATCGAGGTGGAGACTTCCAGGGGACCCATCAGGATCCATTGTGCTGTCGTGGGGATCAAAGGCGACTGGGTGTATTTGAGGAAGGCGGGAATCCGATCTATATCGATCTATTATAAATCTTTTTGGGCTATGTAATGGACTATACCCTAAGCCTGGCCTAAACCCCAAAACCCTAAAAACCCTAAACCCTAAACCTATAGTGAAGGCTATGGCCCTGAAGACTGGATGGCAATGCAAGCGCAAGTGCCACCTTTGTGGGAGTGAAGCCTCTTGAATTTATAGGATCCATATTTGATATGCATAACCCGAAACCCAGCCTATATATTATGTAAACCTCTCATTAGGGTTGAGGGGTAGGGTTGATGATTTCAATTGTTAAAGAGTCAGAGGTCACTTACTGTATGGGTGAGTAAGACTTTCGGGTTTGTGCAGGTTGAGAATTCAGGAAAACTTTAGGGTTTTAGATTGGGCCTTGGGGTTAGGGTTTAAGGCGCGGTAAGCTTCGAGACGGGGTCGTAGATGGTACCATATGGGCTTTTGAAATGGCCTCGTGTTCTGGAATCCTGGACATCATGAAACCAAGATCCGAAGCTGCATCCTAGGAATGGTACAACCTATCTCCCGATGCCCCCTGGCGTGCTGCTGAGAGCCCGACTCCTTTCAAGAAGGAGGGGTCGCCATTTTTCCGAGTGCCTGGGCTCACGGGTCCGGAGGCTGCTTTGGTCGATCCGGCACACACGTGGCACATGGGGTTGCCACGACAGCATCTAGGACAACCTGTGTTGAGTTGGGCATAGGCTTACCTCAGGAGCTTATGATCTTCTTCAAAGGTAGCATAGAGCTCTGTCGGTTTGGGGGCCAATCGATTAGGCTCCAACTCCGGGCTATTCTGAGCTTAGGTGTGGCAAAGACTTTGTCACTTCGGGTGTGGTGTTGCTGTGCCTGCTGGGATTGGTGTCCGGACGTGGGCTGAACACTCGCCTCCACAAGGCCTACTGTGACTTTATCCGCTGGTGTGGCAAAATGCAGAAATCTACTAACATAAGGGGGTTCTCCATGAATGCCTTCAAGATGGGACAACTCCTGATTCTCAAATAGTTGGCTGCTAGTGTTAGAGTACCCAAGACATTTTTCGATCATGTATTGGAGATAGTACCATTAAGGAAGGCCGATTATCCAACGGCGACCGGTGGCAGGGGAGCTGACACAGCTCTGATGATGTCGTGGTTAGAAGATTTTCTATCAAGGCTAGCGCCTAGACGATGTGTTATATGCTCTTGTGTTATTTTCCCGTGCCATGCATGTAGGTGGTAGCACAACAGTTAATTAAGGACTCCTCTTCTGTACTCTTCGTGATGCTGAAGTACACTCTGAGCTGTGCCAACACCTACTTCCGCATCCTTCACCATGGAGGACTATGGCTGGATGCTTCGACCAGCCTACAAGCTGCAACTGCCTGTGAAGAGATGACAGCCCTTTGGATCAAAAATGTCCCCAACCTCCTGAACTGAGATGAAACCGTTGAGCCTTGTTTGCAGGCTGGATACATCCGCTTGGCAAGGAAATGCAAGGAGATGACTCCTTGGAAGTTGTTTTTGGTGAGACCAAAACTTCACATGCAAGAACACTTTGGGTGGCTTGGCCTATATTAGGGACTAGACTAGCCGGGCCCAACCTTTCAGGATCTGCAATCTCTTGGTTGAACCGCGAGGCTAGCACTACGTGCTGTTGCTTCTCAAGGCAAACCTTCGATGAACCCAATGAGTGCCACTCTTACATTCCGAGCTGTGCAAATGCGAAGCAGTATGCATGTTGTGTGTAGGGCTCACTCTTGATCCTACATGATGCCAAGATCAAGCCTGTTGGAGCGACGAGGACTTCATAGGGCGCGTGGCCCGCCTAGCACGCCGCTCAGGCTCTGGGGCACTCTCTTGCTCCTACCGTACAATGCAAAAGTCATTGGGCGGCTACAAGGAGCAACTAGAGAAGCAAGCTCTCGCTCGAAGCGCATGAGGGAAAATCTGAGGATGCGGCACAGCTGTCTCCATTGATGTGGAAGTGCATGCATCATGAACATCAGTACGCAGGGCGCTTAAGGCTTATGGCATTCGAGCGTTCGTGCGCTTTTCTGCTAAACGTGCGCTTTTCTGGGAAACGTGCGTTTCCTTTCTGAAACGAGCGAACGTGCATTTCCTCACCCAAAGCAACCCGAAACGTGCAGAAAACATCCCCGAGCAAGAATTAATGCTACAAAGGATGGTCCAGGCGGTTTCAACAGGCGATTAATTATGACTTGACATGGGACTGTTTTTTGTAGCTATTTCGGCAGGTTGCTACGAGTTGCTATTTGGGGACTGGCCAGAATGAGAGCGATTATGAGTATTTCCAATCACGAGTTTGGTCGTAACTGCAATGGGGGATTCCGCGCCAGAAGGAGCTGCCAGTCTGTCTTCAATGATGCGCACATAAACCCTTAAGATCAATTTGAAGCGCCTCTTTTCGTGACTGGGATGTTCCTCGGGGTCGGGGGCATTCCTCCGAGAGTTTAGAGTGGTAGACGCTTAGTCTGAGGATTGACCTTTCAATGTTCGAGTTGTTTATCAGGCCTCGAGCCGCTACATGGCTAAATCATGCAGCCGTTAGAAGTACATAAGGGGTTTAGGGTTTACAGAGCTTCGGTTATGAAGATAGTAGAGACAAGTGTTACAGTGAGTCTGTTCTGTCTGAGTGGGTTCAGGGCCGGCCCTGGCTGCATCCGCTGCAGCTGTTATCTTTCCAAGAATCGCAGCCAGAGTGCCCCTGGGTGCCGGAGGCCATTGCCACCTGAGCTTTTGTTGGTTGTACCCCATAATCCCTTCCCTCTAATATCAAACCGGGGAGGCGGGGGGCCCTCCAAGAAAATCATCGAAAAGTGTTTTTTTATTGTTAGGGTGTAGTCGTATCTCTACTGTCACTCTTGAGGGCTTTTGCTCCTGCATGGCGTTTGCTCCTGCCCTTGCTGATGCTCCTGCTCGTGCTGTCGCTCCTGCTCTTGCTCTTGTTCTTGCTCCTGCTCCTGCTCTTGTTGTTCCTCTTGCTGCTGCTCTTGCTCTTGCGCCCGCTCCTAGTCTTGCTCTTGCTTCTGTTCTTGCTTTTCTGGTTTCTCCTGCTCTTGCTCCTGAACCCCACAGACAACAAATTAGGGTTTAAAGGGGCCGGGAGGATTGGCACCAAAGTGTTTCTTTTATTAGGGAAAGGTGACTAATGAATGGGGGAAGGGATTACTTCCGCGTAGACTCGATATGGAGATCTTTGATTCTTCGGCATTTCGAGCATGATGCCTGGGTCCTGCTTGATGCTCGACGGTAGCATTGGAGGTTTCTGTATTCGGAATGCTATGATGGCCACGCTCTTGCTAAAAACGCCTACCAACCGCGACTAAGCCCTAAAAATCCCTAAGACCCGAGCCGTAAATCCTACGACCCTCCAGAGATCTCCAGAGCCTTCTCCCCAGCCCAGAGGCTGCGGCCTTCATGGTAGCGGCCTCGGCTTCGGTGCGTGGGCTTCGGGATCCAGCTTTTGAGCTGGGAATGCGAAGTCAGCGGATTTCAGCTGGCCAGCAATATTGAGGTATGATACCTTGTGAGCCTGCTAACCCGATCAGCCTTTCGTAAGAAGGCACATGTTGCGGTCTTCTGCTCCCCCGCTCACGACAGGAAAACTTTCTTTCAGCCCCCAGTGATCGACTAACATGCCGGGCCAAGACCACAAAACGAAACCCTGTTAACCCTCGCTTGTACGAGCCTCTAGGCGCGACGTGCCGCTGGGTCCCTGCTGCTGGTGCTCGCTGCGGTGCTTGGGGCAGAGGCCCGGTCTGGTGCCTCTCATATGCATTTGCCATGGTTATGCCATAGGGATGATGCTGCCGCGAATGGATTTGTTTCTACCTCCCTCTATCTATCTCTCTGCGTATCTGTCTCGGTATCTGATCTGTCTGTCGATCTATCTATCTATGTGCTGTCGGTCAATCGATCTATCAATCTATCGGCGGCCGATCTATCTACCTGCCCATCTATCCATCGATCTGTCTATCTGTCCATCCAGGATCTTGATGAGCACCTAGATGACATAGACATAGAAGTATATAATAGGTGCATGTCATATTCTCGTTGCATGCGGATTGCGCACTGTGCATCTGCAATCACGCACATGCCTGTGCCTGGATGCGTGGATGCCGGCATGTATGTACGCAGGTACGTAGGTGTTTGGGTTTGCAGGTATGAGGCTGTGCGCGTGCACGTGCGCACCTGCGCGCTGCTTCTTGTCTGCTGATTCCAATCTGTATTTACTTATATACATATCTTTTTGTTTCTGTGCCCCGTATATGTACAGCCGTGCGATTATCTGTAGATGCATGGTTGGGAATGTGGCGGGATATGTGCATGTGCTTGCCTGTATACAGTTCATCTGCACATGCGTCATTTAGGTGTGCTATCTCCAGTCGCGAATGTATACGCACCAACATGCATGCTGCTCTATAGGCCTATCTAAAGTTCGACATGTAAAGGCATGCATATGCCATTGTTGCATCTAAGTCTTCTCTCGGGCAGGCAATCGCAATAGCATGCAGATATGCCTGAGCTACGTCTGTGCTCGCAGCCGTGGGCTTGATGAAAATTGAGCACCTTAGCTCACATACAATCAAGTCATCATTGTGTTTTTGCGATGTCCCCATTGGTTGTTCTTACTGCTGCCGCCCTGGCCCAGTAGTACTGATAATAAAACTTTTAGCTGCGCCCACTTGTATAATATTCATCGAAATCATCCTCATGTTTATGTAGTTATGTCGCATCCATTAAGCATGCTAAGTAGTACACCTGTGCAGACCTGCTGCACTGAAGCTCCAAGGTGTGCTGCTGACCTTCGAACTTCAGGATCTCGCCCGAAGTCCAACAGTGAGAGTACAAACCCAATAGGCCCCATACCCACACACACACACACACACCCAAACAAACCCTCCCTAAACCCTAACCCAAGACTTAAAACCCGACACACGCAAACCCAAAGCCTCCTGCTTGCTGCGGACAGGTGGCTTGGATCCCAGCTGCGCAGCTTTCGTCGGCTCGCTTTTCCAGGCCGCTTGGCCAATAGGGTCTAGGCATGTAATTTAAGTATAACTAGTATTTCATATCCTGAGCTGTGCTAGAGGTTGTCATGGTTAATTATCCACGTCATCATAAGACGGTGGATGAAGCTTGGCAGGCTTGAGACTTGGGCTGGACTACTGTGCCATAGCCTTGTAACCGGGTGTGGATCAAGCCGTTGGCTGGGTTTGGGCGGGCCTTGCAAAGCTGAGAGAACTTGTCGGATGGATGAAGCCATTGACGGAGAAGTTGAGGGTTCGGGTTTCGGTTTGATTGCCGGAAAAGCTTGAATGACAGGTGAACCACCAGGCACTGTCAGGCGTCCTTGCGCTACAGACCGCAAATTTGAATCTTGAGTTCTTTGTATGTTGAGTAATTACTGCAGATGTGTGTGTGTGTAGACAGATCCGCGAACTTCAGACCGTACAGACATTGGTCCTCATTACATGTGACAAAGCCACAACAGATGTGTCAATGCGACTGAGTGCGAGGACGGAATCGGTTAGATGCCCAGAGTGTGAAAGTACCGGTGTGGGAGTGACGAGCTACTTGAAGTTGGAAAGGATGACACGCACGCGTACAAGACAGGTAGCAGTCAGCAGACAAACCGCTCCACACGTCAGATGGAACTGAGAAGAGACTACGGGTTGATTGTGGTTTCTCATATTTTCGACCTTACGACAGACATTGGCTTGACAAGCTGTAAAGATAGAAGTGTAATCTAGGACGTTCAGCTGGCATCCTTGCCTGGATGGGCTGGCCTCAGGGACAGCCGACAAGTGCAGTCACGGAAATTAAGAGAAAGCACCAGCCATGTCCAGACCGGACGATTTCGACGATCAACCGAACATCGCACGCAGGAGGAGCCTGAAGTTAGTAGTGGACTTCCACCCCTAATGGGCCCTGACACCCCTACAAGCCGATCCAACCGAGGCCGCAGCCCGGAGGCGCTCGCAGCAGCAAAGACAGGGTTGAGTCTGGTGCGCCGGCCAAGGCCACGCGAGCTTGCGGAGCCTTGCAAAGGAGGGTTGAGGGTTCTCGGTTTGGGGACTGCGTGTCAGCCGATGCCGACCGAGCCCTGCTACATAAACCTCGCTTGTGCCATTTGGCAGCCGAGGAGTGCGGTTTTAATTCGTGAATGGGAGGGAGAGGGAGGGAGAGAGAGANNGAGAGAGCGAGAGAGCGAGCGAGCGACGAAGTGAAAGCGAGCAATAGAGAGGCAGAGACAGACATAGAGACGGGTGACGGGAGACAGGACTCTAAGACTACTCTAAGCAGGGTGCGAATTGGAAGCTCCGCTCTTGCGCAGAGGAGATTGATACCTGCTGTCGGACAACGAATCCATGCCCTCAGACACATCTGATATCTCAGCCCTCCGCCCCGAAGCACACATAACACTTGTTTCGAGACCAAAGACCTGTGCGAAACATTCAATCTCCAGCGCTACTAGCAATTTCAACAGATTCAACAGCATTTTTTCTGGCAAATCTCTTTCGCGACCTTGGCTCTTGATATGCTCAGAGCGTAATTCCCCGAGACACTTATGCAAATTACTACAAAGCACACCTTTTTCCTAGCCCGCCTCAGGCTGCTGGCGCTTGTGCCGGGGCGCTGCTGGCCGTTTTGATGCTTTGCGCGCCACTGGCTGCCAAGGCAGAGGTCAACCCCGAGTACCCAGATGGAAACCCGGTGCCTTTGCTCTATGGAGTTGAGGGTGCACACTTTGCATCTATACCATGTCTAAATAGACCCCTTGCGGTAACAACGGGTGCCCCTTTCTAGGCATCCGGAGTTTAGACTTGATATTGAGGAACATTCCGGTTCGGGCTGCTTGCCGCAACGAAACAACTATCAGTTTGGGCATGCACGAGGCCAGCATCAGGATCTCTCCAAGCAGTCCAAGCATCGAAGAAACGAAACCGCCGTGTGTAGGGGGAAGAGGAGGTATGGTTTGAGGGTTGAGGCGAGTTTTGGGGTTTAAGGGTTTCGGATTGAGCCCTCAACCGACCTTGTGGCCACCTTGATGACTTGTGCGGCGAGGTCGCAAAAGACTTGCGACTTCAACCTTTGCCTGAAGAGGAAGTGACAAGGACTGGCAAACATAAACCCTAAAATCTAAACCCAACTTCCCTGCAATGCGGGTTCGTCCTTGTTTTGCGGGAGGTGAGAAAACTCCTTGAATTCTACATGGTTATGTTACCAACATGTTGATCCGTTCGATCATGTGCAGT